CCCCCCCCCCCCCAATCAAAGATCAACTTTGCGTTTATAGCAAAGGTTATTAACCTTGTTGGAGGTGCTGGACTCTGCAAGTTTCAGACGTAACATTCAATGATCACTTGGAGTGGGGTGAACGGATCAGGGACACATAAACACACAAACAAGCACAGACAACGCCCGCGCTCGGTGTGTGTGTGTGTGTGTGTGTGTGTGTGTGTGTGTGTGTGTGTGTGTGTGTATGTATGTATGTGTGTGTGTGTGTGTGTGTGTGTGTGTGTTTGTGTGTGTGTATGCATGTATGTGTGCGTGTGTGTCTGTTTGTGTGTGTGTATGTGTGTGTGTCTGTGCGCGTGTGTGCGTGTGTGTGTGTGTGTGCACGTGTGTGCGTGTGTGTGTGCGTTGATTTTCGCCTTAACTGAACCCCTGGGGTTCGATCATACCCAGTTAAAAACCACCGGTCTATGGCGAAATTATTGTGAAATTCTTCACCTTGCGCACAAGAACATAAGTTGTGCGTCCAATTCTCAGAGTCAAAGGGGGAATTCTTTTTCATCGCGTAGATATATCTATTTCCATCTCGCTACTTTAGAATTACAAAGTTTTATCTGATAATTTTGGCCATTTTGAGTTATGAAGACCACGGGATCATAAACCAAATGTTCTATCTGCTCTATCAAAATCTTGCGATTATTCGGAGTCATTATCAAGATATTCAAAGATTTGCATTGAAAATAGCTTGACATGTTGTGGAACTCCAATTTTTTTAACGTCAAATTTTTCAAAACTAAGGTACTGAGTAGAGAGAACTTTGTAATTTTTGTGTAGCGATCTGTCTTTCTGCTAGTGCTGGTAGAATGCTGTACGTCACTCAGTCAACCCGGACTCACCCTGACATGCAGGGTCAAAACAGCCCGCTCCTGAAATAAGGCGATAGTGTCTATAGGGGTGTAAAACATTCATGAAAAAACAGAGATCAAGCTCACCTGACATTTTCATTGTTTTCCAATTGACTGTGGAGACACGGAGCAGGTGCGATGAGAGCTTTTAGCACGTTCTCTTCCTTATCAGTACCTGGATATTATGACGTGTGGGGGAATAGAGACTGCTCCACCCGGCCTGGTATGTTGAAATCGTTATCTCCGTATTTATACCGGCAAGCAATCAGCCATATGGCAAGCGCAATCACATACAAAGGCGGAGGGGGTTTATGCTGTAAAACTAGCAAAACATGCTCTGAAAGACGTATGAAAATACTCCCCGCCCCCGCTCCCTCTGAAAAAGGAACAAAACAAAACAATATATCCCCCCCCCCCATCCCCCTCCAAACATCCTCCCGTTCCGAAATAGACCCCCCCTTCCCCCCCCCTTACTCTCCTCCCCATTCCCCGGCCACCGAAAACGACAATACCCCTCCCCCCATTGGAAAAAGAATAAAAACCACACAACCCCCCCCCCCCCCCCCCCAAAAAAAAACCCTAACGAAAAAACAAAAACCAAACAAAAAAACAGCAGTGCTTTCTGACACAAAATCCAATAGCAGTTACGCTGTGTGTCTTGCGGATTTAAGGGGAAATAATTCATCGATGGGTGCGTTCCCATGACAGTTTACGTCAGTTGCGTCAAGGGTGTTCATTGCTCACTCGAAAATGTTTCGCGGGTTCTGAGGCTTCAGCCAGGAAGTGCCTGGGTCTGCTGCCAAACTCAACTGACGAATGATTTGACACCCTTCAGATTGCGCCAAAGGGTGGTGTATAAGGTGCATACAAAGACTAACGCTACAGTATCCTCGCACTAAAAAACACTAACCAAACTTAGAGGGAGTAACAGATAAGAAGGGTTAAAGAAACAACACTGGAAGTAAGTGCATAGTTAATTATATTTGTTATGTTAGACTGAGTGCTCGAAGAGCACAGGTAGCTCACCCCCCCCCCCGAAAAAAAAGAGAAAAGATGAATATTTACAAAAAACAACAACAACTGGGGAAATAACCAGCCTGACGTCAGGCTGCTACGGAAATGGCACTTAGGCCAAAAAGAAACAGACAGACTTAATCTGTCTGTCTGTCTGTCTGTTTATCTGTCAATCCGCCCGTACGTCCGTCCGCCAGTCTGTCTATTTGTCTCTCTCTCTCTCTCTCTCTCTCTCTCTCTCTCTCTCTCTCTCTCCCTCTCTCTTTCTCTCTCTCTCTCTCTCTCTCTCTCTCTCTCAAACAAATCCGTTCTCTCTCCGTCCCCCCCCCTCTTCCTGTGTTATTTTGCAAGCTTCTTTGTAAAAAAAACCAACAATCGTGAATAATCGTAAGTGCATTATACTCCCATTGACACGGCATTGATTATCTAGGTGCGGGTTGCTCTAACCTTGCCCGTCAGCACCAGCCCGGGCTGAGAAGGATACAGAATCCATATAATTGTAGAAAGACGGAGATACATCTCGTGGTCAAGCTGTTAAAATGTACTAAGCCCAGGAAACAAAACGAGAGAGAGAGAGAGAGAGAGAGAGAGAGAGAGAGAGAGAGAGAGAGAGAGAGAGAGGGAGAGAGAGGGAGAGAGAGGGAGAGATGGAGAGAGGGAGGGGAGGGAGAGAGGGAAGGGGAGGAGAGAGAGAGAGAGAGAGAGAGAGAGAGAGAGAGAGAGAGAGAGAGAAAGAGAGAGAGAGGGAGAGAGAGAAACAACAAAAAGAAATATATCTACACTTGCGTACCTTTTCTTGCTTTTTTCAACATTTAGAATTCAAATTTTGACAAAATATTACTTGAGCACGTGCTACCGATACCATCGCTTGAGAAACTGCAATTGGTTTTAAAAAATCACTTTAGTCGGTGGCGTAGTGGTTAGGCTACCGGCCTCGTAATAGCGAGATTACGGATTCGGGGGTTCGAGCCTCAGCTTGGGAAAAGGACTGTACACGAATTTCCCGCTTGGTTTTGTCTTTTTGGAGATGGACATTAAACTCGGAGGTACCGTCTCTTAAATAATCTGTGTTGATAGGAGCGTTAAACCTATACCATTTCATTTCATTTAGTATATTTTAATAACTGGTCGAACACGCACACTTGGTAAAATGAACTTCCACTCTGGGGAATCGAACTCACATATTTCACGTGCAACATAAGGAGCCTAATTATACTTACTATAACCTCATCGATATCAGCATTTATGAAAACTCCAAGCTTACTATTACTTCACCGATATCAGCATTTATGAAAACTCCAAGATATGAAGGACTGGGATGCTTGATATTTTACCAAATTATATGGTCTTCTTGCAAATACTTTGGGCTGAGCAGCACAGAGGGTAGTGCCATTACCGTGTGTACGTTTATTTTGTTTCCTGGTCGTGCGTTAGCGATGAGAATAAACAATCCAGCGATCGTAGAAGTGTATGCGTGGGAGGGAGG